TGCCCTCATGTACTTGCAAACATGCAAAGTATAACATCAGCCTAAAGTAACAACTATGCATCCATGTGTGTGTCTGCACTGCAGTATAATCAAATCTTAAAGCTCCCAAAACACTTGATGTTAGATTTGTTTAATCCATACGAAAACCAAAGTGCATGAATAAAAAGAAGCGTGTTTAATTTGCATTAAATGTACTGTTAACTGGAAACTGTTTCTGGCTGTTTCTCTCATAGAATGAATGTAAACAATGGACACAGCCTGTGAGTCTGAAAAGTGAGCTCCAAAACCTGCATGCTTTCTAAGCACCAGCAGGGAGCGACTTTTCTGGTTGCAAAAAGAACTCTGATGGAAAGCAGTTAATGAGAATACGTCTCACTTGATTTTTTACATCAGTAAACGAATAAGTTTATTGTCTCATTCACTAGTTTCAACTCTCCTCCAACACAGTAAGATGTTATATTTTTAAATTATGATCCCATTTATAGCAAAAATAGACAACAAAGCAGGGGATGCTTTAGGCAGTGGCTACTTTGTAACTGACAGTTTCATGGTGTGGAGTCCTTAGATTCTCAGTCAGATCCTATCTTATTTTGTCCAATCAGTTTAAAAAAAACAAGCCAAATTCCAGACTTGAAGCTTCAGAACAGTCGTCCACAAACCAACGAATGATGTCAAAATGCAAGGTCCGTAATTTAAATATAGGCCAGAATAAAACTGGCTTGGCTTTGTGTGAAGGTAACAAAAATGATGTCTTTGTATTTGTTTTATCTGTAGACAAAGTAAACGCCATAAACCACAACTTGACATTTTTACTCTTCAGTTTTTGTACATTTGAAACACATATGATACAACATATCTCACAGTGAACGGTAGAGGTGCTGATAGGTGGATGTTTTTTTATGTTCACACAGACACAGGTTAGCTGTTTGCCTGCACCAGTCTTATGCTAAGCTAGGTAAATGGCAATATTTAACATACAGAAAATAGAGTGGTATTAATCTTCTATCATTATCTAATTTTCTTTCACAAAAGAGAATTAATCTTTCTCCAAAATGCCAAATGAATACTTTAGAAACACTATTATTAATGTTAAAATATCACCATGACTCAAAATGATAATGCAGCTTTGTTTTTCAGATGTGTCCTGATGCGCAATATGACGTCTGTCGAAACCTGGTCAGACTCTGATGTTTGTTGTGATCATTCTGGTTTGCAGCAGAGGCGTGCTGACCCTGGTAGGAGGAGTACCAGGAGACTCCCGGGAGTTTCCTTCAAGCTTTGCTGATGCGGTCTCTCCAAAAACATCCCTCTGAACTTACCAAGGTTCACTATTAAATTTCTTTCTCCCCTGAGCGACTACTTCGGCTCCGGCTTGCAATGTAACCACACCCTCTGCTGTTCGTTTGTAGAATGAGCCACTGAGCGGTTAGAGGAGTAAACACTGGACAGAAAAACTTCAAACCTACACCTGCATCCACTTAGCTGCACCACACATGCACATCACACAACGTCAGGAATCTCTTCTTTCTGCATCCAGTGTGTATTTTTGCTGCAGGTTTCAGGCCTGATAACTTTAACAATCAGAAGACTTGTAAAGAACTGCACTCAGAAACTGATTTCATCTGGTGACGTAGATGTTTGTACCCAGTCTCTAGCACCATATGAAATCAGTGTTCTGGGAGGTGGACGACCAGCATGTACAAACTCTGTACATGAATAAACTGAAATGTGATGCCTTAAAGTAGGTCACGTTTGTATAAACTTCTGTGCTCGCCTGCTTCATTCACTAACTGATCACAGCTGCTGTCCTGCTTCTTGTTATGTCTTTTTCCCTCTCTGTGTCTCTGTCTTGACTCAAACAGAGATTTCTCATGAATCTACCTTTTATCCGTCTATAAATTCTGTTTACATTAGTCAGGCTCATAGTAATATTTCACAACAAAGTGTCGCCACGTTGTTTACTTTTCATCAGAATGTGCTATTTGGAGCCAATCAAACGTTGTCATACATTTTTTTAAATACTAAAATGAACCTGTATTCTGTGGTGATAAGGAATGTAACATTTAGGTTTTTGTTGTGTCCTTAGTAAATTCTTCAGTATGTTGCAGCTATGATGAACTTTTTACCACAATAAATCATTAAAAAGCAGCACTGTTCATTTGCATGTCTCCTGTATTTCAGTCACCTCTCATCAAGGTAATTGCATTATTACTTCAGGTTTCTTAGAAATTTATAAAATCAGCTAAAACAGCTGGAACCTCTAAATGACAATTTGTTGGAAATACAATATATTACACAAAAACTTTCAGAAGTTCTTGGTTTTAATAAAACAAATATTTGCATGGCAGCTTAAAGCTTTATTCTTAATTTTTTTTTTTAACACAATGAGCCAAAAAGTCAGAGAGCAAAATGAAAAGCAGGGTTAATGACAGTAGGTAAAAATTACAGCAAGGTTCACTTTATTATTAATTATTATTATCACAATGTTATATTTACTTTATATATATGAATAACTACGTTTATCAGGCAGTTACCATTCAGCAGACAGTAATCTTCTTTACACCCACACTCCTCTTTGTTCCTGTGCACAGTTATATTTTGGCTCTCCATGTGCAGAGAGAAAATCTTTGATATCTTCATAAAGGTTCATATTCAGTCTTTACGTGTTGTTCTCCTCATGGCTTCTTCTTACAAGCTGTGAGGCTGAAGGTGCAGTGCATGTCTTCTTGTCTCCAAGGAGCCATTTCAAATGCCCTCTTCACCCTGACTGTATGAAGACACTATGCTGCAGTGATGTCAGGCGTCATAGATCACGACAGCGACAGGTATGTTGATTAAAGTGGAACGGATGGCCACACTGAGGTGATGATGTGCTCATCAAGGACAGAGCTGCAGGGCTCCAGGATCTCATCATGTCCCGTATGATTGATGGTCAGATTGTCCTATAGGGGAGGGTCGAATCGGCCAGCAGTGTGCCTATAAAATCTGATCTTGATTCTTACATAGATATTAAAGGATTATTTATTTGCACAACAGAAGTCCCATCTTAAGATGGTATGTTATTCTGATGAAACCCCAGAAATGGAGGGAATTGTTGACAACAGTTTTTTATCCATTGTTTCAAATTGTGCATATATCGCTTTTACCAATTTGGAAATAGTTTCTGAATATCATATATCAAAAGCAATATGCATGAGATGAAAAACACCACCACCTCCAATGCTGGGCCAAGATTGATATGGTAATAACAATTTTCATATTAAATTCCTGTCTGAGAACAAGCAAGTATTCAAATGAGAAATTATTAATAATCTCTGTCAGAATCTTTTTTTTCTTTACGCTGACAGTCAGAGCAAAAAATAATAAGACAATAAGATGTCATCCTCCAACTCTGTGAACTGTACTTTGCAGAATACACATCACAGCTGAGTTATTACCTGAATAAACTTTCCTGCCAGGTGCTTAGACGCATACAAGGAATTTAATGGTGGTTTTCATTAGCGCTCAATAGAGCTGCAAACGTCATAGAACAAACAAAAGGAAGAAAAAGGTTTAGATCAGAACAAATACAACACAGCAAAGTAACCCAGAGTGGAGTCAGACATACAATAATAGAATAAATGTTGGAAAATAATGCATTGTTTTAATTAGAAGGTGGCATGTCCGTTAATAGATTGAAAGAGTATACAGTATGTGTAGAATAGAATAGAATAGAATAGAATAGAATAGAATAGAATAGAATAGAATAGAACAGAATAAGATTGAATAGAATAGAATAGAATAGAATAGAATAGAATAGAATAGAATAGAATAGAACTTTATTGATCCCTTTGGTGGAAACCTCAGGGAAATTGCTATACTTTATACTTTACTGTGTGCCACAGAAATCATCCAGTTGACCTCCACAAGTCAGTATTACTCAGTGCTTGTGAGTTTTTCTGTTTATTTATTTCACTTTAGCAACTCTAAAAAAAAATTTAATAGTTCGGATTACATTTAAATCCCACTTTGCAAATTTCATTCAAATTCTTCTCAAGGGCTCCAGTTACCCACATTGTTTTTTTTTTTGTTTTTGTTAGCTCTATTTATTTATATACTTTTAGTTAATTGATTCATCAGATTAATAATTTGGGTATTAAAACACTTTGCCTGTTTGCTACTACAAAAGTCTAAAACCCAGCCATAACCTATTAATATTTAGAATGAAAATAAACTGAGAAGCTCTGCAAATCCTCTCATTTAAGAAGCAGAAACAACATTCTGTTTTTTTCCCCCCCTAGATAAATACATTTTGATTCATCAAATATGTTGATATTTACTTCACTGTTGACAAATTGACTCATTGATTAGTTTTCCAGCTCTGTTGTACACTCACGTCCGTCATAAATTAAAGTTCCATGGCCAGTATCAATTTTTATCTTGCGTGTCCTATTAAATGTAACCCAAAGATCAAAATATCTATTGTTAATTTCACTAGTTCCACATGGGATTTCTTTTTTTTCTTTTTTTTACTTTCCATAATTGAGGCTGGAGATTGAAGGAGATCATGCCTCTAAAGCTTTGAAACGGCCTTCCTCTTTTAATCAAATATTCTTCCTTCACTAATATTTTTAGGAAAATACCAAGATGTACATGCTTTCAGTGGCTTTTGGTTGCTCTTAATTTTCTGAATATTTTGGTATTTTATGCTTGTTTTATTTTAAAAATTGCTCTTACAGGTTGTTGTCCTGGTTCTTATATTTACTGGTTTTGCAGGTTTTGTCCCTTTTTGCACATATTTTTAATTGTTGCAAGTCTAACAATATGTGCAGCTCTTTGATCAACTCAGGTGGTGTAAAACGTGCAGTATTCTATATAAATAAACTGGATCATACTCTCTTATAAAGCCTCTAACTAACATTCAGTTTCTTCAAGGTCCTCTCTCAAAGCTCTGACTGGCCCCTCCCCCCCTCCTGGTATCCTAGCAGCAGAGCTCTGAGCTCTTTCCTGATTGGTCCATTTCCAAGAATCCGCCATATTCAAACTTCCGCCGTAGTGTGTGTTCTGTTGTCATCGATCTGCTGCTTTCTTTGTACCTATCGGGTTGGTTTTCATACGGCCGGACTTTGTCTTATGTTCGCTTAGTTTTACCTACATCTCGGTATAACTGTGTTCAGCACGAAGCCTCCCGCAAAATGGAAGAAAATGAAGAAGTTTGCGCAGTTACGGTGGGAAACAAAAAGCAGAAACTACGGAGGATGTCATCGAGGACGTCCACCACCAGTATCATGAGCGCTGCGGAGCCTTCTCCTCAAACTCTGCGGAGAAACAACTCCAAAAAGTACGTACATGTGGGGAAATGTTCAAATGGTTATTTATTTTACAGCCCTTTTATAATATAATGCACCATAACAGGCATTTTATAATGAAATAATGTTACCTGGGTAGTCGACGGGCAGGGCTGCTATTCAAACTGGCAAATGGTGCCTTCAGGTGCACCTCGGAATCCATATTTGCAGATGATGTGACCATAAATTGCCATGCAATCACCTGTATGTTGTCTGAAACTAATACATATAGTACAGACGTCTGTTTGTCAATAAAAACGTGCCATGCTACCCGAGTAAATTTCAGAGTGAAGAAAGAATAAATTAGGGCTTAATTTAAGGGCTGTTTTGATCATTAAGTAACCTGTATGTGAGTAAATATTACACAAATCATTTAATAATTACGTTATTTTTATATCACTTTTAAAAATCAGGGGCAAAACCAGATACTTCGAAGGCAACATAACAACAATTAGGACAAAGCTGAAATAAAGAAACTACAGACTATGCAAAAATGCAATATGTCAATATTAATAAATACAACGAAAATAAAAATTAAATGCTCATGTCAAGTCACTATTACTTCCACAGAACATGTAAATGACAGCTGTTGAGCCAAAGTGCTGTCCAATTCACAAAAATAACACTGGTGTTATAAATATACCTGCTGTAGCAGGTTTAAATATTAATTTAAATGTTACAGTTGAGACACTACAATATAATCTTTAAAAAACAAATTTACATGACTGTTTTGAAAATAAAGATTAAGACTGCACAATATAATTTATTCTGCTGAGTAATTCAGATATTAAGGAGCATACAGAATTACCTGACAAATTTAGGTATTAAGGTTTGGACCCTACAATATTGTAAATTCCAACAAATTACCTGATTAAGTTAGATTATTAAGTACAGCTAAGACCCTACAAAATTATACATTAGGGCCCCAGCGATTCCAAAGACTCTTCATGAGCAAGCACATGTGTGACAGTGGAGAGTTTAAACTCCCTTTTAGCAAGAAGAAACTTCCATCATCTGTCGTCTGCCTCGACCAGTTGGGGTGAGGATAAAGGGGGAAGACAACAAGGTAACAGAGACAAACAGACAATAAACAAGAGATCATAAACACTCAACCAGTTGATGGGACCTGTAGTTACACATCAGATCTGTGCAGCTCCAGTGCCAGAAACACCTGCAGAGATGTGCAGGGAGAGGACAATGCTCAACGTATGGTAGCAATAAGCAATCAAAACCATAATAAGAAACAGTCAGTTTAGACTATAAAATGGTGAAAAATAGTTCACGATGTCTTCATATTGCCAGTTTTAGTTTGACCACCTGTCAGAAAGATAGACAAAGATATTTATTTTCCAACAACATGGAAAAGAGGAAAGTAGCTAATTATTCAAAAATCCAAATGTTCATCTGATGAACTATTTGCCTGATTATCTCTGTAGTACAGTCAGTGATAGTGTATGTTAGTGTAGTAAGGTGATAAATTACATCAGCCTACTGGCATTTTCTGCTGCTTGTATGTTCTTTTGAGCTAAAGACAATTTTCCACTCAGGTGGATAAAATAGTTGTATTTATTTCATTTTAATTTACAGTTCAGAATCTTCATCAGCTCAGTATACTTTCATACTATCAATGAGAGGAGTTGTGTAATTGCAATATTTGATATTTCTTCATATGTTTGGTCATCTTTTCTTTAATCTAAATATGTCCTTACTTTAAGATAGAAAGATCTGCATAGTCAAACATATGCTTCACCTGTATTTGTCTTTACAGACTTGCAAAAAAGCAGTACAAAACACTACAAAATCAGATATGGATGACAAACCTTAATATTTATTTTGACTTGAAATACATCTTTGCGTTCCCAGAATTTAGTGACCACGAGTTACGGTGCACCAAGAGTAATACAGAAATATGTCGACTTGCACACATTAGTTTGTAATTGTTTCCATTGCAACACTTTGCCTCAACTAATCGCATACAATCACTAAGACGTTGCAGAAAAATGCAGCTTTAGCTGTAACACTTGTGCTCATGACCTTGTGCAGCAGTGTGTGCAGCTGGCCTTGGCCTTGACAGCCCCCTCTGAGTGTCAAAACATTCTCTGTAGCTTCATTGTTTTGTTGCCCTAATTGACTCTTCTTTTTTTTTTTTTTCCTGCAGCAGCACAGAGCAGCGCCTTATATGGTTTTAAAGATTAGCGTCCCTCAGCCTCACAACCTGAGCCATATTTGAAACAAAACAGCGACTGGAAGAACAATGTCATGAAAACGGCCTCCTCACTAACAATTTGTCCGTTTATCTACAGATTATGGGAATGCAGTAATAACAAATGACTACATGTGTGTGTATAAGCTGTCACAATGTGATTTGGTGAAAAAATGATTTATCTCCTGTCTTGCAGACCTCCTCTGCAGAGAGGCAGCTCCTTCACCTTTCTTACTCCGGGGACTCCGTGGGACTTCAGTCTAGTGAGTTGAAGTTACAAACAGTACAACACCATGTTTGACTGCAGCGATCACGTCCTCACACAATTATCTCTTTGTGAGGACCGCCATGAGCCGCTCATATGACTTGTACGTGCACTGCATCTGTTATACTTGGGGGCACGTTTTGGGATGTGATCGTTAGGGCTGTAGTCAGTCGAAAGAAAATCTCGGTCAACTGAAATTGTACATACTCTTCAAATAGTCGATTGGTCATTGGAGGGGGGGAATCTGCACCTTATTGTTTGATTAACTAGCCTTATTAGCTTTAATACATCATTTTAAAAAATGAACATTAAAAAATCTTGTATTTGCAGGATAGTTAACTTTTTTAAATGCTTATTTTATTCTGAAACATTAACAGCAGACTCTGAGCCAACTAGGTTGCATCTTCCCATATTCTTGTGATTTCTGAAATCATAACTATATCAACTCATAATCCTAGTTTAAAAAAAAAAAAAAACAGTTGAGGAATATAACACAAACAAGTTAGCGTACCGTTTTTAGATGAAATGCTATGTTTTCTATTGAGCTGTGACATTTACACTCTAATCTTTAACTTGCTTTTTATCAAAATACAGCCGCACCAGTAACTTCTTTGTCACTTGGATTGGAACCAGCTCAGAGTAAAAGTTCAGTAAATATTTAAGAAGTTAGATAGCAGTCTATTTGTTTGGCTGAGTTCACAGTTGTGAAAACACAGGAGTGTTCACAGGTAGTTTGTTCCTCCTGATGCAAAGACAAAAGATGTAGAACTTTTCTCCTTCAGAGAATATTACTGGTGACTGTCTGACCAGTCAGAGTGTGATTAGATGAGAGAACCACGACCACGACTACAGCCCCAGTAATCATCACTTTTATAAAAGATGTTGCTGCAGATCTGTTGTTTGAATGTCCATCAGGCTTTTTAAGGTAACTGGTGTGCTTTGTTGTGTTGCTACAGAAAAGAAAACGTAAAGAGAAGGAGGATGACACAGTCAGCTTGTCCAGCTTCGACCTCAAGGTGAGAGTCAGGACGGCCTCCTCTCTGTACACTGCAAGTCTAGTGAGCACCCTTGAACGTATCCTCAAAGTAAATTTTAATCCCTCTGCATGACTCAGGTTCTCGCCACAGACAGCTACGAGGGCTCTCATTTGTTATGAGCTCAGGATAATCCGACTATCCCTCAGACTGGCACAACCCGAGTCCGTCTGAGGAAATAATGGCGAAAGAAAATCCGAGCCACATTGTCCCTCGGCATGGTCTCAGTGAATCGGTGCTGTAATGGTTACAGGCTTAGGGTTCAGTTCAGTACATTATATGGTGGTTTATACAGCTTACAGTTCCATTCTGGTACAAAATATTGAACTTTGATATAAGTTAGTGATAATATATGAGACCAGAGGGATTTTTTGACAGAAAAACATTGAGCAACAGCAGGCCGATACAATATTTAAAGCATTGTGTATGATAATAACATACAGTTGCAATACAAGAAATTTAGCCCTTCTGAGTACGTAAGGGTTTACGCATCAAATACTGTCTGGTTATTTAGAATTTTTATAAATGACAAATGTGTATGAGTTGAGTGACATAATTAAATTAATAATGAAAATCTTTTTTTGAGAATTTTTGTAATACAGTCATGCTAAAATTAATAAGTCTTTTTTTTTTTTTTAACTCTTTCTAGTTTAACGTGTGAATCTTTTGGGAATTCTAAAATGATGCCACAGTGTCTTTAGATATAAATTCCCAATTAGGTAGTTGTGTAAGGTGAATAACACAAATGGATAAGATATATGTGGATTTAAAAAAAAAAAAAATTAAATTATTACACCTCAAAGGCAACTGTTTAAAAAATATTCCATGGCGACGTGAACTTCCAACAGACATGTTTGGCAGCATGGTATGCAAGTTTACAACTCATGGTAGAGAAACAATCCCTCCTGGGCATACAAGACAGAGCAAAGTTCCTCCAGTCAGACGTTCTGGAGCAGTGAGAACCCCGTATTTCTGCTAAAGGCTTGCAGATGGATCTCATAAAGGCACCACAAATGTACAGTACAGACTATAAAAAGAACAATAGCAAGGACTTCATGCTTGGACACGTACTGCACTCATGCACATCAAAGTACATTTGAATATGCAAAAAACAAACAAACAAAAAAAAGTGTATACATTTGCCTAACCCTATAAAAAGAACACCATCGTAGCAGTTAATCCTGGAGGTGGATCCATGGAGCTGCTAAACTGGACCAGGTGACTGCCATCCTGGATTCTTTGAAAAAGGAACGCGGTGCACTCAGTACACAAACTAAAACTTGGCAATCATTGAAGCTTCAAGTGAATCAAAGCTTGGTTTAGGAATCGTCCCTGGAACGTCCATGAGAGGGAGTCTCAGTCCTCTGATTGAAATCCCACTGAAAATCTCTGGGGAGAGTCAAAGACAGCAGTGGCAGCACAGAAAACCAAAGGATTAGTGAGTTGAAAACTTTTGCTCATGAAAGATGAGCTAAAATACCGAAAGAGATCATTCATTCTGCTTTTATTGGCATGAGTGTCAGGCCAACATTTTGAAAGCACAAAGGATAATATAGTAAGACTAATATTGTAATAAAGAATGTAAGAAGTGCAAATACTGTAAGCATCTGTTGGAGGTCATAAAGGTCAGATGTTAATTTTTACCACTGACCTTGTTCGATTCAATTTTATTTATCATTGGTACTGTTTGTAAGTTCAGCATTTTATTTTCCAAAATCACTCCCACACATTGTTAAACTTTGAGTATTTACTCAAACCTCAATACATGTATTCGAAAAATTTGTATCTGGATCAACAGCAGGTCTTGCAGCTTAAAGGGGCTGAATAATTTTGATAATAACTGTATATGAATGGAACAATGGATATAAAAGGAGATTATCTCATTTCTGCAATTTTCTGCAGCTGTACCCACTCCCTCTTTGTGTACATTTTTACATTGTGTAATTGAGAGCTTTGTCTTTGAAATACAGTATTCAACCAATACTACTTGGTCCAGCAGAAGTGAAGAAAGTTTTTCTGTTTACAGGAACCCAGCAACAAGCGTGTCCGACCGCTGGCCAAAGTTTCATCCCTCGTCAACCTCATATCTCCTTCAAAGAATGGAGCAGTGCGGCGCTTTGGCCAGACCATCCAGGTAAACGCTGTGCTGTTGTGTTACTTGATCTACACATGAGTAGAATTTGCATTTGACTGTTAAATATTTGTTTTTCCCCCCAGTCCATGTCGTTACGTGGCGATAGCAAGTCACCAGGAATGTCCCTCAGAACCACCAGCAAGGCCTCAGGTCCAACTCCCACCAAACGCAGGAACAGCACGCTGTGGTCGGAGACGCTGGACGTCCATCAGAAGAGCGCGTTCTCCACCAAAGAGATCAAGAGACAAGAGGTCGGCCAGTTTGGTCTTTCCTAAGTCAAGAGCAGAGTTTAAAAATGACAGAGAGTAGAGAAAGTAACTTCTCCTGCTTTTTCCTGTTGTGTCTTGTGTGACCATTTATTCTCCAGGCAATTTATGAACTGTACAGGGGAGAGCAGGATCTCATCGAAGATCTTCAACTTGCACGAAAGGTTTGGAAAGTTAAATTAGAGTAAGAAATCATTTATTCTGCATTAGTCAACCTGTTTGATCACACTACTGCTTTCCTCACTTCCAGGCATACCACGACCCGATGCTAAAGCTCTCCATCATGACAGAAGAGGAACTAGGCCACATTTTTGGCGACCTGGATGCGTACATTCCCTTACACGAGGGTGAGCTGTCACTGACCCATCTGGAACTGAAACTGCCTTAAATAAGTCCTGTTCATGTCTACTAATGTGTGGCTTTTTTTTTTTTTTTTTTAAACCCTGCAGACTTAATGATGAAGCTGACGGCGGGAACTGGCCCTGACGGAACAGTAGCCCAGATTGGACAGATAGTGATAGACTGGGTACGTATGCATTCATAGCAATCATACTGTGCTAAGAATACACTGAGAGGATGTTTACCTTACATACAGCGTCTCTGCAGGGTTCGCTACATCAAAGCTGGGGTGGGTGGTGTATTTTTAGCATCACTGGCTGAAAATTCAGCTGTACTCTTTTGATTTTTTTTAGGTCACTCATTAGAAAATCTAGACCAATCACAGATATTTTCAGCAGATTAGGTGAAATATTATAAAAAGTAAAAGAGTCTGCAGTGGAAGTAGAATGTGGTGACGCATTTGGTTGGACAAAAGACTTTTACTCAGGAGAGACAAGTGAATGTTGACATTTATGTTGATTTTTGCATGTTTGAAACATGCTCATCCAGTGGGAGGACTTTGAACAGAGAGGGAAGAGCTAATGAAATTCTGGCCTTTCTTTCTTTCTTTCTTTCTTTCTTTCTTTCTTTCTTTCTTTCTTTCTTTCTTTCTTTCTTTCTCTCTTTCTTTCTTTCTCTCTTTTCCAGAGTTTTAACTTCCACACGGAATGCAATTTAATACTTGTTCCAACCAGCCAAAGTCAAATTAAAGTGTAATGGAAAACTGTATGGCTTAGATTTATTTATTATTGTTGCCATTTTGTCAATAGTTACTAGCTGTATATAAGAGTTAAAGTCACTGAGCACATATTCGGGATTTTAGTTGTCACTAAAACCGACTTTTGATCATGATGAGGCAATAAACGTCACACAGTGGTGCAGTAGTGATGTTGTTTTCTGCAAATCTGAAAATGTTGACTGAAAAAAACATAATTAACTGCCACAGCCAAACCTGCAATAATATGAAAACTAACTTTCAAGACTTAAATCTACTCTGACACACAGTCTTTAAATGCAGTCAATTTTCTGGACTTTCTGCATTGTCAGTATGTGAAAAATGTACGAATGTTGCTGTGTCTCCTCAGCTGCCTGGTCTCAACGCTTACAAAAACTACTGCAGCAATCAGCTTGCGGCTAAAGCCCTGCTGGACCAGAAAAAACAGGACAAGCGGGTCCAGGACTTCCTGCAGCGCTGTCTGGAATCCCCCTTCAGCAGGAAGCTTGACCTGTGGAGTTTTCTGGACATCCCACGTTCACGCTTGGTGAAATACCCGCTGCTGCTGCGAGAGATCCTCAGACACACTCCGCCTGATCACCCAGACGTAACCAGTCTGGAGAGAGCTGTAGGTTTTCTACGTTCAGTAAATCTGATAAGTTCTATGGCCTATCATGAATTAATTAAAAGCAATACACCTTGGGTTCATCGCACGTTTCACTTGTTATTCTGTTGCTGGTGCTTTAATAAACAATCTTCCTTTTATTATCCAGATCACTATAATCCAGGAGATTCTGTCTGATATCAACGTGAGAAAAGGAGAGTCTGAGTGCCAGTATTATATAGACAAACTGGAGTTTCTGGATGATAAGCAGCGGGACCCTCTTATAGATAACTGCAAGACGCTGTTGTGCCACGGCGAGCTGCGGAACAAGAGTGGCTCGGTGAGAAACAGGGTTACTCTCCTTATTAATACCATCAATGTGCAATGAAAATTTATATCTACATGCCATTTTTGTCATTTAAACCTGAGTTTCATTCTCTATGAATCTGCTGTTTCAGAGGCTGCACGTGTTCCTCTTCTCTGAGCTGCTGGTTCTGACCCGGCCGGTGACACGGAATGACAGGAGCTGCTTCCAAGTGTATCGGCAGCCAATACCAGTGCGGGACTTGACTCTGGAAGACCTGCTGGATGGAGAGATCCGCATGGGAGGGTCCTTCAGAGGGGCCTTCACTAATGGAGAAAAAGGTGTGCTGAGTTGCGTTTTACTCCTCCTGCTGGCGAGATGTCCCTCTTTTATATTAATAACTATAAGATGTCACCCAGTGCTCTGGGAGGTTTCTTATTGACTTTATGGACCAAAAGGTTTAAAGGGAAAAAGGTAGTTTTTTGATTCTTAAATGTGGAAATAGCTATCATCACAGTCCTGTCTATTCTCTGGACTTTGGAGTGTTTTTCAAAGCAGTGCTCGATGCCCCTGAACATGTCCGAGCTCTGAGTGGGAGGGATAATGAAGGACTTAGAATTCAAAAGTTGAACAAGGCTTCACTTCCACTTTATCTTTGGTTCAACCAGCAACTCTGTCAAGTTACAAAACAAAATTGTGAAGTTGTAAAAACCAAACCAGAACAACGGGTTAACCTTCACTAAAACCCTCTGTGGACCGGCTGAGTTAGGTAATAACTCAGTGTGGCTCATCAGTAAGAGCAGCTTTTTTTCCACATTTACTGTCAATTAGCCTTTACCACTGTGTTGAAAGAATAGTCAAAATAAACACTACATGAAAGGATATGCACAGGATTTTGGGTGGCGTCGGGGATTTTGGTTCCTTGCAGGATCCGAGTTTAGAATCCTAAAAGCATGGGTTAGAAACTGTTTTAAAATGTAGACACATTATAAATGATTTTTCAAGTTATACAGCTTAAAAACATCTGTTTGATCTTTTCTGACAGTTTTCTTTGCTTCCTGTGTGTCTCTCTAGCAAAGAACGTTTTCCGTGTGAGCTCTCTGGACCCCTCCCACGGCCAGTCCCACACTCTGCACGTCAGTGACGTCTACCACAAGCAGCAATGGCTCAACTGTCTGCGCACCGCGATGACTCAACAGCAGGGGGCTCCAGCTAGAGCTCAGCACGGGGAACCCATCCGGGCAAAGCGCCGCTCCTCCACCATCTCAGCCGCCATCTGTGACACAGAGACAGACGAGAACTGTCCACCTGTCTCTGGCCCCAAACTCAGGCCTCAGACACTCTCCAAAACCAGACTGGAGCAGAAGTCGCAAGGATCAGGAAAGAGGAAGGAAACCGGAGTGTAGACATTCAACCGGGGTCCCAGTCAGACGGACACATGTTCTCCACATGTGTCCTGTTTGGTCTCATGTGTATGTCAGCAAAGTTTCCTTCAACCACTGTCATAGTGCTTTTGCTTTGTCCGTGTAGCTGCACTGAAAAACCTTCTCGATCATTTCCGTCCAAAAGTAAATCAAATTGTAGTTTTTTAAAACGTGTAATTAGTTTACAAAAAAAAGTGATGCGTGCCATTGTGACTGAAACATGTTTACACCAGTGTGGAATTAGGGTTTTCTGTTTGTGGCTAAGTTAAAAAGAACTTTACACCACTTATAGCTGTTTTGTTTCATTACATAGGCGATGCATTTAAACTGTCTCCGTCTTGTGCCGTGATCGTATTGTCAGCTGCTGTGCTATAGGCGACGTGTGTGTGTGTGAAGCTGTAACTTCTGAGTGTTATCTGTGCCAAGATAAGGGATCAAGAAACTGAGGAACTGCAATGTCTCAGCAGGTCAAAGAAGGCCATGAGACAGGTCTTAAAATGTTTTAAGTTTAGATACAAGGTAATGAACAGAATATAAATAAAACCACAGATACAATAAAATATTCTTAAGGGGGAAAAAGAATCAATCAATCAATGTAAATGTAATCAATGGATATTTGTAGATCGAAAAAAATAATAAAACTTTTAGTACTTTCAGACTCATGACTGCGAGATTTCTTTGTTTTGTTGTTATTGCGACATAGCAGCAGCTTGTACTTTGACCTGTAGTCACTTCCTTTTACTGTTGACAGAGCTGTTCAACAGTGTGTCGCAACACTTTAAGAGCAAACAAAGGCAGGTTTCTTAATATTTTAGTTGTGCATGCTACTAGTGTAAATGTGCTAAGCTCTAATAAAAGAGCTCTTTAGGGCATTTTCCATTTTATACGATGTCTTCGAACATCAAAGCCAGTTAGAACAATCCCTTTTACTGGTAAATTGCATTCAGGTCAGAGGCATCTTTGACTCTTCTTTTCCAACTTCTCGCTGTAATTCTTATCAAACGCTGATGACATCGCAGCCTGACGTAATCTGTCCTCCAATCAGGCTCGCAGAGTACACGTTGTACGAGTAGTAATGGCTGTAGAAGGATTTGACAATGGCAGTTTAACACACCTGCAAAGCTGGATTTACATGTAGGGAAACTATAGTTAAATACCTGTTGTTATGACTGGGTTTGTTTCCATTTCTGGTGCATCACAGTGACACCCTAATACCTCAACAGATAATACAGCATTAGTGTTCGAAGCTAGTGCAGAAACGAAAACGACTGCTGAGTTTCATCAAGTAATGACGCACTGAAGGCTAAGAAGAAGTGGCTTTTGGAGGAAATGAGATTCTCAGTTTGGATGGTTTGACTCATCTCTTTCACCAGACTGTGACTTTGCTGTTCGACCAATTATTTTTTTTATAAAAGTGTGCATTTTAAAGCCTTTAAATTTGGAGGTACACAACCTTTAGACAGCTTCTGTATTCCCCTTAGTGCCCTCTATCTTCCTGATGCTCGATATTTCTCCCACAGCACCAGCAGCACAACTTTCATTATTAACCCCAAGGACCTCATGCAAAGTATCACCTGTTAAACCTTCAGTATTTATAGCTCATAATGTGCCAAAAACACTGACAGTTTCACCACAGCCTAACTGAAACCGTCTTTCTCAAAACTTTATTAGACACTGTTAGATGCGCAGTTTACAGCTGCCAGTGTTGGGTGTCTTTCTGGAGGAGTTACCAGGTGAACAGTTCATGAAAAGCTACGTCTGTTATTCGCCTCCACCATCCTTTCACAATGACCCCTCACTCTTTTTTTGCTCGACATATGCTCAGCGGCACCTTGAGGAAAAAACCTAGGGCTCCTGATATCACAATCCTGCAAACTGAACACCAGCTGGTGCACAGCTGCTGCAGTTCAGGTAGGATCAGATGACAAGCTCAGGGAAGTGAAAATGTTTTGAATTTTCAATACCGTCTAAGAAAAAGGCTTGCTTCTTTTTTTTCCCCCAGTTAATCCCCCACCAGCTTAATCAGGTAAATGTTTAACTGGAAAGCCACTGTAGCTATAGATGCAGCATACAGCAGAAGTGAGTATACCCCTGTGTACAATCACTTAGATGTCAAATGATTCAAGACTCTATCACTTATCAACATTATTTCTATGTTGACAGCTAAAGTGATTCAACTAATCAAAAACAAATATTTTAGCAACACTGTATAAAAGATACAGGCCAAGACCCACAACCCTGTGATCACTAAAGAAAAACTGGGTGTGTCTGTGATTTTCAATCAGCCCTACTGCATGAATATGATCATAGTAACTGCAGTGTGAACACTACAACTTGCTCATTTTTGGGTTTAACTCCATGTCTGGTATCATGGCTCTGCGTAGAAAAATAGTTCTAGATTATGAGACTTCAGAAAATGAGAAAAATAAATAAATCAATAAATCAACGTAGAAGATGATTGATGACTAACTAAAAATCAGTTGACACACAGTTGTCAGGAGGTATAGAGCGAGCCTTAGTACCACTAATCAGTCGATTGGTTGTCTTCCAAAATTGGCATCACAGTGCTGTAATTGGACAATCTTGTTCTGAAAAAAAGACGGGCAAGTGGTTAGGCTATGGTACAGAGGTCATCAGTGGAAATCAGAGTTTCTGCAACAGATCAGACAACATAAAAGACAGCGTATGATGCCAACATCTACGGAAGGTATGCAAGAAAACAATACTTGTCTGTTCTTCGGCACAAAAATGCAAGATAAAAACTTTGCTAAATAACACAAAGAAGCCTGATGAACACTGAGAACACGTTCTTTGGTCAGATCACACCAAGATAAGTTTGTTGGGGTCAGATGGTGTCCAGCATGTTTGTTGTGAATCTGGCCAAGCCTACCACAGTGAATGCATAGTCCTGATACTGAAGCACAGAGGGGAAAGTTTGATGATATGCAAGAGTGCAAACGGTGTTGGGGAGATGACATTTATCTTGTAGATAGCACCATGAATGTCTTTGGATATGCTAAAATACTGACTGCCGAGATGACCTCCAGTCCCAAGAACCAAAAGCATCTGCCAACATTACACAGAGTTTCTAAAGAAGGAAAAATTAGAAAGTAGAACCTGGCCAAGTATGTCACCTGACTTGAATGAATAGAATATATTTGAGGTATTTTAAAGAAAAGAAGAGACCCACACAGCCCTTGAGCAAAGAGCAGTGAAGAAAAAATGCCTCTGAAGAATGAATGAACGTCTCCCCAGAAACTTTGTCGAGAAAGTTTGAGTCCAGAAAACAAAACAAAAAATGGACACTTGAAGGACTTAAAAAATAAAGGATTTGAATCTCAGTAACAAAAGTTAGCTCCTACTGTACGGCCGGTATTTTCAATATAGTAAATCTAAACTGTTAGTTTTTAATTTGACATGAAAGCTATTACCTTACTGTTCAACTTACCAAAATGTCATTACTTTAAAATGATGCAATCTGAAACGATTTGACATTTAAGTGATATTGCACAGGAGCGAATCAGGTTCCAAGTATTGGCATCTGACTCTTGATCGCACAGATCGAGGTCATTTCAAGACATCCGTTTCCTCTTTGTGGCTTCATTTAATCATTTCCGATCACACTACTTTGTAAATATCTGTTTGGAGAATTGCCTACTGGCCAGCACAGCTTTTATTTGGAGAACCATAAGCTGAAAAGGTGTATCTTTACATAACTGTTATGTACAAGCTAGCATCACTCTTTGCTGTCTACAATAAATGATTTATACACTTACATTACAAAATCATCACGTTCTTCATCCATTTCTCGAAGTCAAAAGAGTGAGGGTATTGTTGAACATGAAGGAACCAGTGTAACAGGTTGGACAGGAGAGTGGAGCGTGGCACATGGACTGTATAAAGGCTGAAAATGCTTAAATGCTTTCTCAAATTACACCAGCGAAGTTATCTCACTCGATGTGTTGCTGCCTCAACTGAGCTTTTTCTAAGGAAGTTTTGAGGTTACAGTTGAGGGTATTTCTGTTGACTGTTTGGCTGATAACATCACAGGATGGAAGTCGGAGGCCACTGACTGCATATTATTTTGCACATTTTTCTAGTTAACTTTTTCTGCTCAGTACATATTCAAAGTACCAAGAATTATGGTTTAAATGTTGTCTTTCTGTATCGTCCTGTCTTTATCTTCTTGTATACACTGATTCGTATATACAATATGTAAACAGACTGATAAATTGGGGTCAAACATGCTTTTCCAGTAAAGCTGATTCTGATTCTACATGCTGGTTTCAAAGTCTTTCTGTCCATGTCAATATCAAACATGTGAGTCTCTGCAGCAGCGGATCATGTTCAGTCATGTTTCTGTGCCAGTCAGGAAGACTTATTGCATGTACTATGTAAACATAGGTGGGCCTTTAACATCATTTTCAGCTCATGATTGTAGCTTGCTTTTATCTAATCTTCGGCAGGTATGTTCCTCTTTTGATGATTACATGATACCAACGTGACCCTCTACATGGACAGCAGTGACGTCTTTGCAAATATTTTATTTCAAGTATTCAATCTTTTGTTTTCTATTCACCGTTGGTGGATTTTGATAGACCACAATGTTTCATTGAGTGGAATCCCTTGTAAAGCATTTTGTAGAGAGTGTTTCCAGTTAACTGCCTACAAGTTATTGGGAACTGGGCTTCATGTTTCTTAACATTGATATACGACACCAGTAATGCACCTGGGTTTCCTCACTGAGAACAGATACAAACTGTTCTGGAAAGGTTACTGCCGTCCCGATTGCCAGTGATTGTAACCTGTATTGGAAATTACACATTCGTGATTGTATTCATTTTAACCTGGATATGCTTATGGCCTATTGAGCATTATTGGTTTTTCCACAAGTACTAATTCCACAGATCCATTTAGAGGTTCTGGAGGACCAGTTAATCTACTTAGAAGATCCATACCATGTTGTGTTACCATTTTAAACCCTGTACTTACCTTTTTCTTGCCATTTCAAATATACACAGTACAATTTGTGAGGACCAAAAACCTAAGTTAGTATTCCAGGGAAGTTTCCATTTATTTTTGTGCAATATGAGAATGAAAAGCAAATATGCAATATTTTTCTTTTCTCGATGTGAACAATATTATTGGGGAATAATGCAGCTCTGAATAACGGACTGGAAAAGTTTGCAATGAATTACCATAATACGAAAAGCAGTTTTGACAAGTGCAGTCCGTTGAAGTAATATTTCCATTAAAAGAGCATTATTAGAACACAAAACAGAAGAAATATTCAGTCATTTTTGAAATGTTCAATCACACAAAACGCTGGATTGTTTTTAAAATAGTCTGATAGAGGTCTATTTATTTACACAAATAGAGGTAGAACCATCTGTATTATGTACAAATTTACATTAAAAATAAATAGTTACAGAATATATATACAAATACATAAAATGATATAATTCTAGTCGTCAAACCGCATGTTCCATATTCAGTGAAGTAATACAGGATCTAGGATGTAAATTACATTCACACATACTTGGTCGTGATGAACAGTTCATGCTTCTATATTTCAGGCTCCTTAAAGCAACACACATTATATGAACACTGATTCAAATGGCTCTGAGTAATGTGAAATGATTAACGGTGTTTCCGAAGCTTCTGAGGATTAGATGCATTAAATAAAGGCTCTGTACTCCCACGCGGGTGTGTTCAGCTATTGTGACTAATTAGACCTCTGCTCGCCAGACTGTGTGCACTAAAAAAAGGATGCTAAAGGTGAAACATGGCCCGTTTTAACAAGCGCAAACAGGAGCTAACAGGAGAGGCTGAGCTTGATAGACTGTCTGTAGGCGCCCACACAGTCCCGAAAGAAGATCTGAATCAGCCCAAAACAAAGAAATCACCTGTGTGGGTTCGCCACTAGTGTGCATGGCCTTCAACAGCAAGTCATTTGATCCTTTGGCCTTTTGTTTTTCTTGCCAAAAACTGCACACAAACTGCCAAGCACCAAACTGCAAAGGTGAAATAAATAACTGGCTGGTGAAGATGTTTAACTCAGGGGTTAAAGGGCCGAGAGGTGAAAGCTGAGTGTTGAGCTTAACATTATTTTGACGTCTAACAAGATCCTAAAAACGGTTTATTTCTACTAAATATGCAAGTAGACAGTTGTTTGAAAACACGTTAGCCACCAGAGCTAGATAAAAGTTGCTGCTACATATGTCAGGACTGTATTTCTGTTCCATAAATGATCAAAAACATCTCTCGGTGCAGCTATAAGCTAATAAGCAAATTGAGCCTTTTTTTTTTCTTTTAGCTTGCTTCGGTATAAAACAGTCTTTAAGAAATCTCTGTACACCCGTCTCGTCTGGCAGTGTTAAGACATCTGTGCGGCACCTCTGCCAACTTCAACATCCTGTCATATGACTTTCTGGAGAAAAAGAACCACAGAACCAGCAGATATAACTGGATAGTGTTTAACCTTCTGAGAGCTGCACTCAAGTTTGTCAGAGGTGATTAAATTTCAATAGGTGGAGGTGGCGTGTAAGAAAGAAAGCTTATGATGCGATTGGGCAAGCCCAGTTTGGAAACAACGTCGCGTGCTCTTTTGCCAAGAGTCCTCCTCACTGCCACTCTGCTGATCTGCTGCAGACTGAGGGGGGTATCTGAGGAAGAAAAACCAACACAACTTATGTTTGCTGGTGCGTTTATATGGTGACATGTGATGCACACTTTATGTGAAAACACTTACTCTCATAGAACTCAAGAGAGATGTAAGAGGGAGATCCCACACTGGTGTAGTGGATGGGTTTTTTGTTCAGGTTGTCCCGGGAAAACACATTCCCCCCAAACTCCACAAGTAGCTCAATCAAGTCAATGTTCTTTGTCTTGGCTGCGTGATGAAGAGCCGTCTCATGGAGCTTGGCAGCGTTCACATTTGCTCCTTTTAGGAAAGAAAAGAGGGAAGTACTTCTGTTACCTGTAGCATTTGCGAAATGCCAAAATCACTTTTTACAGGATTAAAATATTAGTGACAGCAAACACAGAAACGGTTTCTTAAACAGTATAACACATGATATCAAGCAACCAACAGTTAGCTCTGAGAAATCATTTGAATCTCCCTCATGAAGGATGAGTGATGTGACAATGGTTAAACTGAGCTACACTTTTAATGTTTAGACTCATTTACACACAAACAGCATTAACATGAAACCATGTTCACAGTCTGCAGAAGAGCTGGGAGACAAATGATATTGATATTGACAAATGAGATTATATTTAATCTATACTAAAACCAACCTTTGACGAAAAGATTAAAGATTATTCAATATTTAAAGCACACGTGTGTCAACTAAAATATCACATTAAATCTCTCTCTGGTGACTGATTAACCTCATCTCTGTGTATCAAAATTTAGATTTAAAAAAAAAAATGAAAATAATCCTTTATTACCTTAAAATGGCTGAGATGTAACGCTACATAGTTGCTCCTTCTAGAATTTACAAACCTATGAAGTCGTCCCTTATCTTTCCCCCCCACCACTCCCCCACTCACTGCAGCTAGAGCACACCAGCTCACCTGCTCAAACACTGTAAACCTACTCTACACTACAAAATGGCACTATTGGAGTGATTCATCCATACAGGTTCAAACCAGGAACCAATTCTAAAGAGGAATTATACCAAATCCCTACCCTGCAAGATAACAGGATCCCTGTATTGACTCAATAATATATTGTATTATTTGCAGTAATTGTCTCCAGCCCTAATGTGCAGAAAGCAAGAGTGGACTCACCCGCATTGAGGAGTACTTTGGCGCAGTCGTAATGTTGCCTGGCACAGGCTACATGAAGGGGAGTCCCATAGTGGCAGTCATGGGCCTCCATGAAAGCTCCTTGATCAATCATGAGCTGAACACAATCTGAATTACCTATAACAAAAGACATGCTAATTATTTCAATATATAAAAACATGCAGAGGGACATTTGACACGTGCACACAATTAAATTTGAGAAATGCAAGATAGCAGCGACTCCATCTTTTGGAGAGATTCTTTCAGTCGGTATTCACCCGTCACCGATATATTGGTATATATGTTGTCTGACATGAAAACTTTCTTTTACACCACATAATCAAGAAAAAGATGCATGGAGTAGTTTAGAAATAATGACATCACATATTTTGTCTGGCAGAGCGGCTCCAACTCCATTGTTTACAATACTTCCAGCACTATCTGCAGCACATGTAGCAGAGTACGTATAACAGCTGAGCAGATGGTGGTGCAGAGTTCAGTTTTGTTTCCATGGCAAGCTGCTAACTAGTTTGTGAAATACATTGCTGGAAAGTTAAAAAGACCCTTTCACTTTCCCTTTTTAATACAACTCCAACATATTATATGTATATTTATATAAACAATATCTGCTGGTATATATTGGTTCAAATGTGGCTGTGAATAGTTTGATCATTCACTGACCACAGAAACATGTGTCTTGCATTACTTGTAATTTTAGCTTTACTTGATACATCTATTGATTATTGATACATCTAAAAATGCTTTCAAGTATTAACCAGGAGCTCAATAGTCAAACGCTATGAATCCAAGGTGACATTTCCTGTTGGGAGGGTTGCTGCTGCATTCTGTTTCCACTCTTCTGCTCTCCCTTCCTTTTCCCTCTGTGACAAATTTTCAAGATTTGTTACTCAAGACCTTTTCAAATGTTTCCCAGCTTGCTACAGCATGAATCATGAATTCAGTGCAGTAAAAGCTTGTCTTAATGAGTCATTCATGCAGTTTTTCTTAGAAAGAAAACGAGCTCTCACAAGCTTTCCTTTGGCACTAACGCAACACAAATGCTGTGTGGAGTGATGCAATAAAAATACATCAACAATCAGATATGGATCAAAATAAATTCTTGCGCAATGTTGTATTTAGCCAGACACACCTCCCATGCAGGCCTCATGAAGAGGTGAGAAGGTAAACAGTGGAGGATTGACGGTCGCTCCATACTCCAACAGCAGCTTGACACAGTCCAGACTACCAGCTGCACAGGCATCACACAGTGGAGTGCTGCCATCGATGTTACGAGCATCTACCTGCAGGACAAAACCAGAATAACTTCACACATGCACCAGAAAGTTAAACACATCCTGATGAGGCAAGCCACCAACGTGACTCTCTTGTGAAATACTTTTTTGCCGTGGAATTCTGGCAATTTGATGTAACCGCCTCACCTGCGCACCGGCGTCCAGCAGCAGTCTGACACACTGGGTTTGTCCCTGTATGCAAGCCTCATGCAGAGGGGTGATGGAGTCCACAGCCACGATGTTCACTGCTGCGCCTCCCTCTATCAACTGCTGCAGCTGCAAGGCCCTGCCCTGCGCAGCCGCCTCGTGCACCGCAGACCGGTCTGTCCAGAATCCAAGGCCATGAGCTGCAAATATGTGAAGCCAAACAGATCTGAGCCCTTCTGTTCCCCACGTGTGGGTTTTTGACTTACAATGGAAAGTCTCCTCAAGTTTCTCATTTTTATCATAAAGCAGACGCAACTAACATCATTAAGCACTGTTTTAGAAGAGTGAAATCAATTGTTCAGAAAGTAAGGAGGTTTGGAAACTTAACATGCTCTACAAACTGAATGACAAAACCTGGGACATAAATGGCACAGAAATGAGAGTAATGCTGCACACTTATGTACAGCATGATGAAAACCATTACTATGCAATATGTATTACATGGTAAGGTGTGTGTTATTGGCTCTACTGACCTGTGCATTCATACATGTTTCCTAACATAAATCTTAAAGCAGCAACATGCACCTGCTGGCTCACTAACGAGCTTATAGCCTGCTGCCATGCTAACATATTAACTACCTGCTAATGCTAATCTAGCCACACGTCGAAGATAGATAGTCTGCATGAAATGAAACCTAACGAAAACGGCCCACTATATGCATCGACACTGTCCAACCATTCACTGACTCTTCATTGAAATGTAGTGTTAGCTAACAGTTGGTCACCAGCTGTAAGCTACTTACCGATTTCTCCATACAAGGACGGTCTGGCCCGAGTGATCTCCATTTCATGTTCCCGTTCCCCGGCTGCGTAGACCGCGTAGATTCAGCCAAACGTGTAATTCATTTTGAAGCAGGTTAATAAAGACAGAAAGGACTGCATTACTACAAAACACGCCGGAAAACCGGTGCAGAGCGCTCAGTGCCGGCAGCTAAGGTTCAGGTTCAGACCTAAATAAACAATAGCGAGGAACTCTGGGAAATGTAGGCGAGTGGCCTGCAAGCAGGACCAGTACCTGCTTATAGCCAAGTTACTGACCTGATAAAGGACTCTCAGCACTTTTAAAATAACCGGAAATACAGTTGTATTTGATCCTAAAGAATAAGACAAATTTTTGTATGTATTAATGTATTTGGCCTACTTAACCAAATTAGGCACATTTTGGGCATGTCCCATTGAGGTAAATGCTTGTTTAGCTAGTTAGCAACAGATTAGCTTGGCGTCATGCTAGCTATAACTTAGCTATATTTTTAAAAAGCCTTTGAAGCAACATCATGCAAAACTTAGTAAAATAATGGCTTTGTAGTGCATCTGAAAAAATATTATATGGTAAGGGTCAGGGGCAACTATAGAGTACTCTGGCCCATCTGTGAGTCTGTTCGTGTGTGAACAGTCTCTAGCTTGAATGCTAAGGTCTAACAAGTTGATATTTTACAGGTGAACTAGGAATGGCCTCTCTTCAGAATGATGATTTTGGGGTCAATCTGTGCAAAAATAGCTCCACTAGAGGTCAAAGGTCACTGAAAGAATGCCATACACCTTCAAAAGGGTGGAAGGTATCTTTATGGTATTTGTTGCAGATAAGCAGTCATGTTGGCGCTTTCCATTTGGGACGTTACATTTGAGCTTGGATGACATTTCAAGGTCAAACTTAAGGTCATAACTTTTACCTGAACTTGAGAACACCGTAGGATAGACACAGTGTTTGTATCGGAAACCATAGGCTTCCCACTGGGTATGTAACATTTGACCTTGTGTGATATCTCAAGGTCAACCAATGTTGATATTGCTATAATATTTTTTTATAGCATGTGATGTATACATGCATAGTACCCATTTCACCTTGGACAACCAGTCAACCATGATTAGTGAAAGAAGACACCTATTATGTGGTAAATTGGATGGAATAATGGTTTACTGGGGCTCAGTGCAATCTTGGCCAGCAGGGGCAACTTTATTCCTCTACTAAGGGCCCTCTAATTTGTTTTAATTTTAATGACTATTGCATATAGCTCATGAAAATCAGAAATCCATTATCTCAAATTATTAGAATATTTCCTCACAAAAGGATTTACAATACAGAAATGTACAACTTCTGAAAAGTATTTTCATTTATTCAGTCAATACTTGGTTCAGATTCCTTACCACAAATTACTGCATCCGTGTGAGACAGTCAGCTTGTTGCACTACTAAGGTGTTTCCAAAGTCCAGGTTGCTTTGATTGCAGCCTTCAGCTTTTCTGTATTTTCAGATTGGGTGTTTCTCATCTTCCACTTGACAATAGCCCATATCGGGTTCTGTGGGGTTCAGGTCAGGTAAGTCGGCTGGCCAACTAAGCACAGTAATATCATGGTCAGCAGACCATTTGGAGGTAGTTTTTGCTCTGTGAGCAGGTATTAAGTCCTGCTAGAAAAAGAACTGGCATTTCCATAAAGCTTGTTAGCAGCTGAAAGCATGAAGTGCTCTGAAATCTCTTGGTAGATGTTGCGTTGACTTTGGATTTGATAAAACACAGTGGACCAACAGCAGCAGATGACATGGCACCTCAAATCATCACAATGGACTTCAAACACCTTGGATTGTGTGCCCCTTCACTCTTTCTCCAGACTCTAGGACCTGGGTTTCCAAATGAAATGCAAAATGTACTTAAATCTGAACGGAGGACTTTGGACTATTGAACGACAGTCCAGTTCTTTTTCTCCTTAGCCCAGGTGACATCTTCTAGCTTTGTCTCATATTACAGTTGTAGCTCCTTTACTGAAGAAGTCTGTGCTCAGTGGGTCTTGATGCACTGACTCCAACCTCAGGCCAGTCCTTGTGAAGTTCTCTCAACTACTTGAATCACCTTTTCTTGACAATGTTCACAAGGCTGCGATCATCTCTGTTGCTTGTGCATCTTTTCCAGCCACATTTTCCTTTTCCAGTCACCTTTCCATTTCCATGCTTCGATACAACACTCTGCAAACAGCCAACCTTTTCATCAATGGCCATCTGTGGTTTACCTTCCATGTGGATGGTGTCCATGGTCGCCTTCTGTACAACTTTTACAGTTCGCAGTCTTCCCCATGATTGTAGTTGCATGTGCTGAATTAGACAAAGAGATATGCGGTTTTATACTGTTTAAATAGTCATTTGCTCAAATTCAAAATGAAATATTCTAATATTTTTAGATGCTAGATTTGCATGAGCTGTAAGCCACAATCATCAAAATTAAAACCAAAAAAGCTTTCAATATTTCACTTTGCATATAATGAATATAGAATATATGACAGTTTACCTGTTTGAAGAAGAATTGTGACTTGGCAACACACATTTTGTTGAACTCAAGTCAGGCTTTTTATACTTCTCTTCCAACAATGGGGTTTCCTTCCATGGACCCACTATTATTCACGGTATGGTGCGACCAGACACTGTTGTACTTTGATCTTGGAGGTCAGCTTGTGTCTGTTTGTAACTTTTCTGTACTTTTTTCACCATTTAAAGTCTTCCATTCAATCATGGTCAGTTTTCAAATTTCTGTTTTAACATATAGAAAACAACAATTCAGCTCTTTTTACAATGTATTTGTTTTATTTAATGGAAAACCAAAGACATGGAAATGTGCATAATAACAGAGTGTGTAACTTGATCACTTTTCAAGAAGAGCGTGGCTTTGTTTCAGTGACATGCAAAGGCACATGTAAACCTTTGGGTCACATCAATAGTTGAGGAGAAAAATACACTTTTAATTATACAAATTAGCTTTAACAGATAAAGTCTGATAGCAGCAAAGTTACATGTTTTCAAATTCTACATGGTAGTCCACCAACTTTTTAGAATGATCCCAGACTTGAAAGTCACAAAGTTTTAGTATCTGGACAGAAATTAGAACTGCTCGACAGTGAATTAACCAGTTTCTCAAATAGCTGCTGTGAAAGTTTCTTCCATGTTTCAGTCAGCAAAGCTTTTACTTCATCCAGACTAAAATGTTTTTTCTCCGTCCGACCCCAGATGTGATCTATCGTACTGAGGTCAGGCCTCAGGGAAGGCGACTCTCAGATGTGATTTTTTTTCTGGTAAAAATATTTTTTCAGCACGTGGCTGGTATGTTTTGGATCATTATACAGCAGAAAGTTTTCTTTCAGTGTTCCTCTGTAGACTTCAGAATTGATGATACTATGAGTAAATCCATATTCACCGACAAGACATTTCCAGACTTCGATGTTCTCACCACCATGCTTCATCGTACTCTTAGTGCAGTCTGGCTGGAGTTCTCCACATTTACTTTGTATGATTTTTCTGTATGATATTCCATAACACATGTCTTCAGAAACTGCAGTCCTTCTGTTAGCTAATTAAATCCTTGATTTATTCTCTGAATTTATTGATTCTCTGAAGGGTTTCTGCTCTCTCCCTCTATACTCGTTCTGTACTTGTTGATCTATTTCACATGATCTGTGAGCTGAGTTATATCTGATAATGACCATGGCTGTTATTTCTCCATTTTTTTTGTTTGTTTGTTTATAATTCTTACTTACAATTATGCAGTCCAATCTGCTGCTGGTCTTTCTAGGCCTGCCTGCACGCCTTCTGTTCTCAGTCACAGCTCCTCCGTTTCTCAACAACAGCTCCTCCATTTCTCAACAACATACCCAACTGCGGAGGATGCGAGCTTGAGTTTTTTTTGTTCTTTTCTGAGTTTGCTTCAGTTCTTCTTGTCATTCTGAGCAAAACAAAGCACATGTCAGAAGAAGTCTTAGTTATAAAATCAGCATTTAAGCGATACAGGAGAACAGCTTGGAAATGAGTATGAAAGTTGCCGGTTCCATTCGAAGACAGTAGACTCAATAAAAATGTGTAAAAGAGAACATCTTTATTGTCAATTCTGCTCAATTAAAATACAGTATATTTGAGCACAGGGAGCAGGAGAGAAGGAAACAGATGTTGATCCATCTCCGTAGTGTTTTTCTTATTGATACTCATTTAGCCTTCTGTTTGTTTTTTTTTCTTTCTGCAAAGTATTATTATCATTACAGCAAGCTGTTGCACCAAAGTTTGGTTTATCTGCATTCCCATGAGGTCATACGAGATGACGCACTGCTTCCTAATTGCTGTTTCTGGCACAACATACTTATTAATATTCTGCAGTGTGTGTGATACGTCATTATTTTTCAAATCTTGTCGTTTGTGCATGTTTGAGATTAGAGAAAACAAAACCTGTGAAGTTTCTCCTTGCATGTGTGATGCAACCTGATAGGCCAAGTCTTGGCAGAAGCAGTTCTGGCAAGTAAACAAAAGCGGTGGATTGTGTGGCAGCTGCTTATCTGAATGTCTCACAGCAGCAGACTGGGAGTGATTATACACATTTTAGCTGAAAGACTATTGGTTACCTAGAGTGTGTTCCAGTATCCATACTACCATGCTGTATGGCATGCCTGAAAAAGACTTGATGTGTCCTAATACACTGTTGTCAAATGTAGTATGCCAAAAAGTACCTGGATGTCCTACTACGACCAGTCCAATTTTGAAGTATGGCCATTCTGACCCACAATCCTTAGCGTAGTTTTGTCGCAAATGCCACAGTGTCTCGACTGAGTATAAACAAGCTTAAGCTACAGAGAGCATACAGATAGATGACAGCTTGTTTCACTACAGACTACGATGATCAAAGTTAAAGACGCATGATTATGACACGAATTATCCATCGGTGGAGACATTGAGGGGTAGATTTGGTTTTGAAGTTGACCCATGTGACTTTTGTCACAAAGATCCAGAACAAAACAGAACATTTATTCTTCTCCTGTCCAGTGAGTAGGAAATTCTGGCAAGATGTACATACCTGGTTATGTTACAAACTTAGTGAAGTTGATCAGTTTACAATCCAGAATATTCTGTTGTACAAATTTACAACTTACAAGGGAAACTTCACTTCTAATCAACATTCCTTTTGGTAAATACCACATCCATAAAAATAAATGGCAAAAACAACTGTCAAACTTAAGCTGTTTTAGAAATAAATTCAAAGTGTTTTCATCCTCCTTGAATCTTTTTTAAAAAATCCAAGAAGACTGTAGAAAACATTTGCCATGCTGCTGAAATGTTCTTGATCTATTCATACATTTTAGTTTTTAATGCCTTAAAATTTGATGTTTGCACGTAATTATCAATGAAATTGTAATCAGATTGATTTAAAAAAATATTATAACAAATTGCATTTTCCAATTGCATTTGTACTGCATGAAACAGCATGGACTTTGTAAAAATATGCAACTTTATTAACCTGGATAGAACTCTTTCTGGCTTTGTTCAGCTTGGAGGCCATTTAGTCGGTTGGGGTAATGGCAGTAGGAGGTATATTCATACTTTTACAGATTTTATTTTACACCTCCAAGTTTTTACACACGCAAAACACAATAAAAACGGGTTTTCCAAATGCATCATATGGGTCCTTTAAAATGTTAACATTCCCCATAAGAAACACTGTCTGGAGTGGATTCTGTTTAAAGTTAGCCTCTTTAACTTGCCAGCTCTATCAACTCTATGCTGCTAAACAACTCTCATGCACATTCATCACGTCTCATCTGTTTGCTTTTTGTGTGTGCTGGCAAACTGGGACATGAGCTGCAGTTTATTCCGAGCATGTGAACTTCAGGGGAAACGAGCTAAACATGTTTTAGCACTGAGCCCAACTTCCAACTTCCCCTGCGGTCTGAACAGCTCGTTGCGTCGCACAGTCAGTCATAACCGCTAAAACTGGCTCTAACGCGTCGGTGGTAGGAACATTTGACGGTGGCAGTTTTTGTTTTCAGATACCAGGTATTGTTTTTTTTTTCCACGGCTAGAAGTTGAAGCCAGCAGGATATGCGAGCGGCAGGAACAAACTAGCCTCTCCGCAGCTCCAACTACAGCCTCCACAGCAGCACCACAGTTTGGTGTACACTTTCAAGATGGATGCTTTCGCCTCGATAGGTTTCTGTTTCTTTTTCGAAACGGACGATACGTGTGGCGTTACCCGACCCGAAGAAACGTGTCAGGCACCGAAGGGCTTTAACAACTAACCCGCCGTGTGACTTGTGTGCCGATAAAAAGTGGATTTACGTGGATTTATTCGCCGCTACGTGTCTGGACTGTCGGCTATTTTCTAACTTCCTGGTTGTCGCATTAATACTGAATGTGTGTTGAAAAACTGCGGCGACAGCTCCAGTGACTTTGGGAGATTCAGTGAATTCAGCATACATGGGATTTTTAAATTCAGCTGTGATGTTTAAAACCAGAGACAGCAGTTTTCAACGACGGCCGAAGGGACAACGACAGATTTCATAAGCAATGGAAAGTGGAAATGGTGGTGCCTCGAGTAAAGGTGATGAGCTTTTCCGCCTCGTTTCCTCGTATGACTTTCACTTCAAGATTAAAAAAAGAAAAGATATATATATATTTTAAAAAGAGCCACTACAAATAAGATATAAAGCCTCGTTTGTTGTGTGGAGGGACGTGTAGATTAGGTGTCATCTCGCAGGACAAACTGTCCCAGGATTGAGAAATACCTCGGAGACTTTTTTTTTTTTTTTCCTGGTTCACATCCAAAAAACGCAGTTTGCAGTAATTTTCCAATGTCGCTTATATATTATTCTCATGTCGGTGTTGTTTGTTTTGTTGTTGTTGTTGTCCACTTTTAGGTGTTTTAATACCTGTGCCGGACTCTTCTGACGTCTTTCAAAACAGTATTTTGGCTCCTCTTCAAAGTGCGTACTTGTATGAAGAGTCAAAGCAGTTTTTTAGATATAAATCTGCTGTTTTGGTGAAAAACCCCGAACTGGAACAAAAGGTCAGTCCAAAACTCAATCCTCATGTCCCACTGTCTAAACTTATTTTCAACTTTTACACTTAAAAACACAGTATGTCTCTGCTGTTAAACATTAAGCCGTTCACATCAGTTCATATGTAATCAGTAGCCACACGGTGTGTTTGTTGCCATTAATAAGTGTATACTGTAAATTATTCCCCTGTTTTGTTGACTTTTAGTAACTATTACAACTCTGTGCAATATCCTTTATAGCATAGAAACCGAGGCAAAGTCTGTGTTGAATGCAGGGAAATAGGAACTCTGTTGAAGGCAGCACAACTGATTGCTTCCTTTCAATTCGTCTTTTATGTTAGTATAACGCCCTCCGAGAAAAGAGGAGAGAAACGGGATCTTCAGAAGAGGATCTGAAAGAATCTTATGGGTTTTTGCTGTTCGACGATGTCACCAAGGTACACACCTGACACACTGACAGACGTGAGAAAATGAGACAATCGAATCGTCTGCGCTTGCTGATGTCTGTGTTTTTGTTTAAAGGCCAATGCACTTGGAGAAACCGGCGTGCTCGCTGGAAACAGCACATGCACAACTCTGGGAGATCCTTCGAAGGGTAAATTATGACCCCCTCCCTCTCTGTCTGACACTATGTCAACCATCAGTGAGATCTGAATGCCTTTTTAGCTCAGCCATGAATAAACATAAAAGTACAGAAAATACACAGTCAGGATTTGTCTACAATAACTACTTTTACCTTAAGCTTACATGTATTTACTGGTTACATGGTTTAAAAAAAAAAAAAACGCAAGAACTACATTTAGCCTTTCTCATTACTAATATAAAGTTGCAAGTTTTTACCTTGATGGCCGAATGCAGGACATTCTCCATGCAAGCAGATTCCAAAGTATTTGCAGAGCACTTCCAGCTAAGGCACAGTCTGTGTTGAAAGTCAGCTGCTCTGCTGCCTTTGAAAGTGAAAGCAAATTTAAGAAGCATATGAATGTATACAATTGAAAGTAAAAGGATTTCTGTTGTGAAACAGAAACTGTGAGTTATACAAGCTGGGCAGGACTAAGCATTTGCTTGATGTGGAAAGACTTATTTTCTGTAACACTGTAACACAGATTTCAGGATGAAATGTGCCTTTCTGTTGTGTTGCTTTATTATTTCAAATTGGCAATGTTTCCTCCTGAGCATTTGTTGTGTTACATCTCTGCCCACACAAGGCTGTGATAAGTGTAGAAGTTATCAGGTCTAAACTTTGGTCAGAGTGTTTTTTATGGCGCTGTTTTTCAGGGAGCCATAGGACAGCACTGCACTGTAGTGACACATAAAAACAAGATTTCTCTGCGTCGGGTGAAGCTTCTGATTACAAACGCATTCATTTTTATGATTTAGACTGTCTTGCCTCATACTGCAGATTAGGGAGTGCAAAAGATGCACCGAACCTGTCAGACCAGTTTTTTGCTGCTTACCACATTCAGATTTGCAACTTGTAGGTTTAAATGTCACTCATTTTAAAGTGTTTTATATACCACCTTTGTATTTCAACGCATTATGAATCATTTCATTCTACTATTTGATATTTAAAAACAACAGATCTGAACCCTTAGTGATAATAACTAAGTTTTTCTTTTTTCAAAATTGGCACTTATTTCACTTTTTAAAAAACATCCTATGTCATAAGGCATGCACAAGTCTCATAAAGGATCATTGCAATCAGGCCAACAGGTCATGTGATGTGACTTGTACAATAAGCAGGAAAACAGTATCTGATTACAGGTTTTGTTGAATCTAAGCCTCACAGTGTGCCTTGAATATCTACAGTGTCTGCAATGTACACACTTTGTTTTATGTCAGATTAGAGAAATGCAGGACTACGGCCTAATAAAATAAATTAAATAGAAAACAATGTAATCTCTGTTTGAGTTCACGTTTATTTGCAGTGACTGAGGTTATTCAGATTGTTGTTACTGAGGTGTGTCCTTGACAGCGGTGAGACATTCATCTTTCTAGGTGTGGCTGGGCAACTTTAGCCGTGTCAGAAAACCTTCAAAGTCATGAGTTAAACATTGTAGGTTTAATGAGGTTCTAAAATGGTAATAAATGACGCCCTGTTTTTACTGTTACATGAAAGCACAAATTAATTGGACATTTTCTGTGTTTCAAAAGGTGTTTACATATCGATGTACTCTGACTGTTTGGATCTAAATCGCTGGTATCATGGGAAATCTGGATACATCGTAATCATCAAGCTGACAAAGGTATTAAAAAAAGAAAATTGTCATATTTCTGCACAAAGAAGTGTTGCTGCTGGTGCTGCTTTTATGAATAAAAACATTGCTCTTTGTGTTGCTTACAGGGTAAAGTTAAAAAGGTTTTAGAGAACTACACACAGAATTTCACTGCACCCACTGTGGGGTATGACTGCCACGTGTCCGAACAGTTGCCTTCAGTATCTGCCCAAACCAGCTCCTTTCTTGCCTTTGAGAGAACCCAGGTAAGATGACATCAGCAGTGATTTCAGTCTGTAGATGTGCTTCATTTGTTAACTGATTCCATTGCAGTGATGGTCCTCCTCGCTGTAAATGTCAATGTGTGCACTGATTTCATCAGAACACCTCACCTGTCACTGCTGTTGTATTGTTTATCTGTCTGTGTGTAGAAACATCCTTGTGTGCACAGTATTGTTGAGCACCTGAATTCCTGAGTGCATGTTAAGACAGAAAAATAAATGGATGCCAGACAGCTCAAAAGCCCGTTGTCTTGGTCTTGCAGTATTACATGTATGAGCTGCTCGATGATGGAAGCAATAGAACAGCCCAGTCTCCCAGTGCTGCCTGTCCATTTGCCATCGTATCATTTTCATACACGGATACCAAAGCGACACCTGTGGCACCGCAGGAGAAAAGGTACTGTATTGTTAGAGCAACACATGCCCTGCTTTTATGGTGTGTTCCTGATTTAATACCATTTTATGCAAGTTGAGAGTATTTAGGTGTTAATGATTAATTGTTTCCCAATTTCTCTTTTCAGTGAGATGACAAAACTGGGTAAGTAGTATAGAAATAGTGGCACATAAACACTTAATATACACCAATTTTGCCAGATTAGTTGGTACATCTACTTAAAATGAATGTAGTTTAATACAGCGGTACTATTACAATTTCTATTTTTTGAACATTGGACAGTTTTAAAGACATTTTGGTGGCTGCAGTTTGTGTTGGTGTTGAATTACAGTATACAATGAAAGTTAGCTGACCTTGCTTCACTGTTGGGACCATGCATCGCCATGGTAGTTCTGAATAGGTTCATGCCGAAATCGAGTCAATCAAATTGACAGTCGTGTCATCTAAACAAAGAATGTGCACCCAATATTCTTCAGGCTTCTTTTCATGTTCTTCAGCAAAATTTCATCTTGCAGTTTTATGCCAAACAGCAAGCAGGGGATGCCATTCATATCAGTTGACATTATGCCCTGGCCTTCACACTGCCTGAGCTGTCACAGAAACTCTGATTTCTATTGGTAACCCCTGTCCCAAGTCTGAAGCACAAGACCGTCAGTTTTTCAGAGCTGGATTTTGCAAATACCACACTGTCCTTGGAGTCATTTTAGGAAGAATGCCACTGCTTAGTCACTCTGATTAGTGGTACTTTACCTTGTTCTCTACCTCCTGATTACTACAACAACTGTATCAACTTAATTTTCATATTTTACACCTGAGGGAAAGCCAAATAAATGAACATACAGTTGAATTTAGTTACAGCTGAACTTAAACATTAGCTCCTTCATGAAGAAAGGATTCACTGTCAAATTGTTGCATTAGACTGCATTCAGCTTAGCTCGATGTTCCACATATTCTGGAAAATGAGTCTATATTCATGTCGAAAAGCGGTATAGCAGCACTGCCATGGTATTTCTTATTATCACTGTTCTGACAAAGGCATGTCTGAAGTAGTCCTTCATTTATTATTATGTAATTTCAACTAATATTAATATATTCAGAAATTATTCCTACAGCTAGTACCATTTATATTTAGGCTGATTTTATTTTTTTAAATCTTGGTAATTTGTATGTGAACACATTTAATTCACTGAAAATAGGCTTATATGAAAATGCACAGCATTCTTAAATATTTGTTGTATTTCATCATTTTATTTCAGTTTGTCATTTCTTGCCTTGGAGGGGACAGCTTCAAATAGGCAGCCAGTTGTACAGTGTTGGGCTGAGGTCTGCAGCAGGGGCCCTAATCCCTGCACAACTGTGAGTTAAATATGCACATGGAAAATACACATTGTGTTCTTATTTGACTTTGATAACTTAGCTTATGTGACTTGTTTTTTGTGCCTCCAATTTGTTTCTGTTTCAGACCACCACTGGTGAAGGTTGAGAAAGTCATTTCCATGTCGGATCTGCGAAAGCTGTTGCCAAAGGCTGTTTTTGAAACGTGCATCACCGGTGAAGGTGTGTTTTTAAGCTGTCAGAAAAGATGTCTTTATTATTAAGTATTAACATTTTTAAGGAATTCTTCAAAATAACTAGCGGATATCCGTGTTTTTCCAAATGAGCCTTTGGGAGGTGTGACTAAGCATGACCTAAGCACGATTGATCCATGTACACTATAGGCAGTGAGTCTGTGTTACACCATTTGGCAAAAATATATGCATTTTCCTGTCATTTCTGACTGTTTGATAAACAAACGTCTGTCATGCTTGAGTAAATGAAACTCTAATCCGCAACACTGGTTAACAAACTGAATTGCTACTGTTAATGTTAATTGTAATCATGAAGTTGATGGTAGTTTTATTTTGGTTGTCGCTAAAACCTCTTGGGGAGCACCAAAAATTCCTCTATATAGGAGAAACCATGAATACATTTTCATATCATAATGAACTTGTCCAATTTGCTGTCTTTCAGCTTTTCTGGATGGCTTATACTGCAGTTTATGTGAGTTAGTTCTTTCTGAAGCGGAAGAAACCAGCTCACTCGCTCAGCTTCTGTGGGAGATCAAGGAGAAAGATCTTGTGAGTTCCTGTTTATTATCAGCCTTTACAACTTAGTCACTCATTACATATAATGACTAACTGTCAAACCCCTAAAGTGTCCAATTCATAAAGATATGGAACACAGGAAACTAAACAGACCTTTACATGTTTACAGCTGTAACCATAAAGAGATGGTATTTTACCTGAATGACTTAAACAATGAATTGATTGCTAAACTTGTTGACTATGTTTGTTGATCGACGAACCAGCTTATCTTTGCGTGCTTTCAACAGTGGAGGTTTTCTATGCAATACAACAGATAGTTCTCTTGGTCCAATTTTACTTGCCATGTAACATCCAAAGAACATTGCTTAATTTTACACAGGCTCTCACTGTTCCACTGAATGATGGAGGATTTCTTATCCTGTTGCACTACTCCCATTTCCTCACATATGATGGTAAGATATGAATACAATGACAGCATACTATGCTGTCAGTTGCATGACAAAATTCTTTGTTCGACGAGACATCTACACATCAGCCATGTCCTTTTTTTTTTTTTTTTTTCTTCCCAGATACTGGGTCCGGTGCGACTGATGTCCTGCACGGCATTTTTGTGTTTCCCGACTCTCGAGCTATAATGAGAGGTGATGACATCATTTGTTAAACATCAATGTTTTCAGTTTTTTTTTTTATCTCACATCCCCTATATGATTTGACATTTGTACTGCTTCATTCCACTAATGTGTGTTTGATTAGCATTAATGCCACTCAGGACTACTAGGGAAAAAACTAAACGAGTATTCTTTCTTTCTTTCTTTCTTTCTTTCTTTTTTTTTTGTCACAGCCACAAAATCTGGACCGAGAAACCCTGCCTTGTCGTCTGAAATCCTTCGAGTTCTGCCAGTACTAAGCTACGCAGAGGGTGAACTTGAGAAAACACCCATCGACTCAAGTGAAGACCTCTGTGAAGTATTGGTGCAGCATATGCAGAGTTACGCAGCACTGATAAATCCTGGTCTGGCATTCAGCCCCTCTAGGGAAGTCAGCATCTTTCCAGATCAGTACGATGTGCCGGATGCCCACAAACACCTCTATTCAACCCCCGAGTGGACTGACAGGTCATGGCAGAGCTTGGGGTTATACCTGAGTAAACAAGCCTCTTTTCAACTGCCAGTGTCCAAGGCTTCAGAAATCCTGGCAACTGGACAAGAGGAGCGAAGAGAAGACCTGGATGATGATGTCTATATCTGTGTCTCATCTCCTGAGGAGGCCCCAGCCAGTCCTGTTAGCAAGGGGCGAGAGGACCAGTTACCAGAGCAGAAATCTCCTGTAAATGTTGAGATATCCGCGGACAGTGGTGTATCAAGTGCTGAAGCTCAAGTTGACTTACCAGCTGTGCCTCAAAACGTTGCACCAGACAATTTGCAAGCTGGAGATGCTACCAAAGACAATGAAAAATGCAATGACCTCCCTGTACTGAATACAACTGATGTTATGGGGGTTGAAAATCTCCTCACTCCTCCTGCGTCAGATGACCTTCCTGCGGAGCTGATTGTGAGCATCACTTCAGCAGAGCGAAGTGTCACTGATAAGACTCTAGGTGTAGTCAGTACTGTGTCACCAACAAAACATAGTGACTTTCCATTTCCTGGTCTTTTACACACATCAGAAACGAACTCTGTCAGTGATGAGACCGACAAAACTGTTGTGCATTGCCCTGAGGACGGCAATCCTACACAAACAAAACTGAGGAAACTGCGGAGTGGACTTTCCAGAGGACCAGAAACGGTGTCTAAGAGTTGTGTTGAGAATCCCAGTTTACAGACACCAGGAGAGAAAGACGATTCAAACAGTCAGAGGGATGAACACGCCAAGGAGTCATCTGAGCACACACAGTTGAGTAGTGCTCCATATATTGATTGGAGAAAATTACCACGGAAGCGCAAATTTGGAAGATACTCATCAAAACATAAAAAAGTGAGATCTGCTACCGTTGGTTTAGCAACAGCAGAGGAGACAAAATCAAACCTTGGACATCCAGCCAAGGAAAGCAACATTTTAAAGGAAATTGAGGGTTTTCCTTTGAGAAAGAAAACAGAGCGCTGGGACCTAAAGGCAGTTGTCAGCGAATGTGGAAGAGTCTTGGTCCCTTTTGGCTCCGTGGATGCCTATAAGATTAAGTCTTTGAAGGATAACCTCCAGTCTACAAAAGATGAACAGTGTCCTGAGAAAATGTTGCTTGATGCCCCAGTGAATGCTGTTGACACAAGTGAAACGGAGCAAACGTCTAGCACTGCTCCAGAGACCGCAGTGGATGAAACAGAGACCACAAAATCCACTGATGATGGGAACAGTGTACAAAATGACACTGTCCATCATACTAATCCTGAACAGAGCAACTTGAGACAGTCAGATGGTGGCGATCCTTCAGTGCCTTTGAGTCCAGAGACAAAGGTGCATTCTTCAGAGAAGGATGACACAGTTACTTCGACTTCACAAGCAGGGCAGGAAAAACGCACGTTGTCCCAGGGAAGGAGTCCAGCGAAGGGGGAATTTCTGTTTAGTAAGCTAAAATCAGTCATTTTAAGAGGAAAGAGGAAAACAAATCTTCCTGTGACGGACGACACTACTGCAAATACTTCCCAGGACAGCGAGCCTTGTCTCAAGAAGGGCAAAGTGGACTCCAACATCGAGGCCTTGAATAATGAAGTGACCCAGAGCACCAATGTAGGTGTCGAGATAGTTTCAAAGATGCTGTCGGTTGACCCTCTTTTTGCATATGCCTTAGGGCTGACTCCCAAAGGTACACCTGATAAGGTACAGAAAACTGAGAACCAGGATACACAGCAAAGGAAAGACTCAGCAGTGGTAAAAGAACCAACCTCTTCAGACAAGCAACCTCAAATCATGCACAGGCCTCCATCAATTTTCCCAAGAGGATCACGGATTAAAACACTTAAAAAGCATCAAGGCATCTCTGCAGAATATATTAAAAAGAAATGTAAGTCATTTTTCAAAATTCTGAGATTTGAAAGCCTCGTTTTTCATTCATGATATCTAAATTTTTTTCAGTATTATGCATGAGATGAAACTAACAGACCCATTTCTTGGCTTTGTCACTCTAGTAACTGTCCTCGTCATGCTTCTTCTGCGCTTTACACTTTACTTGCCTGCGCTGCTTTTTTGCTGTTCTGTCAATCTGCAACCAAACATGGCATTATTGGCTTGATAAACCAGCATCTTTCTTTGAAACAATCATGACATAATTTATCTGTTGGTGACAAGTTCTTAATAGACAACAGTGGTATATTTCAAGTGCTTTCAATGTGCGACTTTTCATTTTCATGCAGTTTCTCTTTTTTCTCCTCTGTTTTGTCTTCACAGGGTGGTTACATTTTCAAACGCCAGCTTGTTTTGCCAGTGAAAAACACAATAACAAAGACTGTACTAAAGATAACTCTGTCAGGAAGACTGTTAAGGAAAAAGTGAACAGTGCTTGTTCATCTACAGATGCTTTGACCTTACTTGCTGACTTGGCACTCAGTGCCAGTAATGGCCAGGTTCCTCCAGGACCAAATCCAGCACTTGAGAGAAAACTTGACTCAAGTTTGAAGATGTCTGACCTTAAAAAAGAGCTTTCCAGTTCTGAACAGGAGTCAGTCCTTCATGCTCTGCTTAGGCAGCCTGCTGCTAGATCCATTCAGGCTCTTGAGTCTCCTTCACCAAGCCATCTTGTGGGAGACAGTGAATTGGTTGGTTTGATATCTAAAGAACATGGTTACTCATTGCCCCCATCTTCCTCTCTACTGTTGGGTTTGCCAGGTACACCCTTCCAGCAGGTATCCCCTGTAAGTGAGTCTACCAGACTGCTGCACCATCACCAGACAATGTGTGGCGATGGAACTAAAACACTACACCCCTTTGTTGGTCACGAAGACAGAAGTAAACACAACAGGACTCCAGAATACCTGAAAAAATACATGACTCCCAGGCGAAAGTTCAGATACTCCCGTACCTTTGATAACAAGGAAGCATCTGTCCGAGTCACAAGACAATGGAAAGAAAACTATGACTTTAGTCTAGACAGCAAGTTTACAAGTGACTCAAAGGACAAAGCTATCATCCGAGCATTGCATGGGTATGTACTTTGTGATGCTTATTTATACTATGAATCTCAACATCAAATTAACTGATGTTTTTGTTGCATGATTTCAGTGCTGTAGTTGTGTGTATTTGGTTGGGAAAAGTTGGGGGTAACGTTTAAGTTCAGATGACATGATCATCAATATAGCTAATGTTTTACATTTAACATCCTCAATAGGCCATGGGATTTCTCCATCCAAGACACAAGTGAAGAAGTGCGGCTCATCGTCCACATGTGGATAGGTTTGTTTTACAGCCGATCAACAGCCAGGTTCTTTCATGTTGACTCGAACTTTACATATCCATGTTCAGAAGACAGTGATTCTTTGGATATCCCCAGTGGTATGACATCAAGCCCAGCTAAGCCTGAACTTGAAGCCAATTCATCTGCTGCTTCTCCAACTGTAACAGACACTTCAGACCCTTTGATTTCAACAGCTTTGGACCTCAGCAAAAAGCCCAACGCTGTCTTGGACCAAGAACCTGTGATCTTGGATTTGTCACTGAGAAATGCCAATGCAAAAGCTGTCCCCGCAGATTCACAAGTCAACCAAAAAGCAACTTCTGTGTCCAGTGAACAGAAAGATGCAAAGG